CACACGTTTCTCGCAAGCACGCTGATTGGCCAACAGTTGGACGCATTGGAGTGAGTTTGTTTGACTGAATCAAAGGAAAAATGTCATGCATTCACAAAGGTCGTTAATTATGGATCCAACTAGCTGTATATACCGATATGTTTCACTCGCCCTCTGCCTGCGTTTTCGCCTGGTCCTCTTTGTTTGTAGAATATACGTTTTGTCCCTGAAGGACCGACTTTTTACGGAGTGCACGTTCGTTGTGGCCGTGCAGGACTCGAAGAACGGTTCCATGCACTCAATGTGCAGTGGATTACAGTCCAGCCGCCGCATTGTGTGCGCTTGATTCCCCAAATACAGCATGCTTGTGTTTGCGTGGAAAGGATTGTTGGCCGGCTCCTTTGACGAAACGTGGCTCCCATCCACATGCCTCCCAGTCTTATTCCTTCGGGTTCTCGTTGGATATGGTATGTGTGGTTGGAGCTGTGCGTGGTGCAGCGCAAGCCACCCATGGTCCCTCTGTTGGCGCAGACGTCCTATGGCTGGCCACAGTGACATGTAAATCCAAAACCGGATGCCGCCAACCATTTCGTCAAGTACAGAAGTTTAAACGAAAACAAAGCTTTAAACGAACAACTGTTTTGATTAATTCTGCGTCAGGTTTATGCATTAGTATACATTAGGGCAAAGTCTGTTGCAATCGTTAGCATTTCAAAGAGAGAATTTATCAGATAATTTAACGTGATCATGATGGCAGTCATCTGATCACATGATTGAAGTCCGGTGGATTTGCGGAGTGCCATCAATTCCTTCCGGTCTGGTGTTCGACCAAGGAATTTGCATTGTTTGTACAATCTTCTTCTGGACACGCAATTCCGGGTTTGTTAGGCGTATGCATACTACCTCAGCGGGTGCAAGCAGGCCTGCTCTTACTCGATAATTTTGTCTTGGCTGTATTATGCAGAGAATCTGAAAAGCAGTTTGTTTATCTGGTAGACGGTGTTGATTAGATGGTTTGTACTTGCGCTGTAATTTGTCCTATTTTCGCGATTGTAGTGCCAACCTGGGAGGTGTCCCTTGATCTTCTTACCTAAGCGCCTGGTCGTATGTCCAAGGAACTTGGCTCTACAAGGGTAGGTTATCCGGTAGATGAACACTGATTGGAGATTATTAGGCACTCGGTCTTTGAATCTCGGAACTAGTAAAGGTCTGCTCATGAACTCCACATTCCGTTGAACCTTATTAAAGATCTTTTTGCAGCTTTGCTGTAGTTGACCTGTTCGTATCTCAGCCGCACTATTTCCTTTGAATGGAAGAGTCAGGAGCAGCTGCTTTTTCGACCGTTTGTTTTGACACGTTTGGAATGCATCCCCTCATATTTGATAAACAACATGTGTTCAATTACAGGCCACTTTTCTCAAATCGTTTGGAAGTCTACCACACACGTGGGTTTCGGAAAGGCTACCACAGCAGATGGGCATAAGGAGTATTTGGTTGGAATCTACCTGCCTCCGGCTAACTTCAAGGATGAATGGATTGACAATGTCCCGCGACCATTGAACGGACAGATATATGTCCCCAGCTGGAGTGATATAAGTGAGCAAATTCCTTTCCGTGATTAGTTGCTCCAACTTCTATCAGCTTGCTATACCTTGAGCTGTGGTATGCTAGTAAATTTGCGGGGAAATCACCTAGTATTTCCGCTAGTAAGGTTCATACCTTTACCTGTTTGTGTGCAAAGCCGTTGCCCAGGAGGGACTTTGCTATTTTCAAGCAGAGTAAGAATGTAGCTGAGCTCATTGACAAATATTGATGATAAATAAGCCGAATAGAATTGGCTAAGTGAATTTAATAATGTCTCTCGAGGCTAACCAGCTCCTAACATAAGGGACGATAGAATGTTATGCGTGCCTAGACGTTTCGGTTAGTTGAACAGGCTGTTTTTCCATTCTGGATGCCCATTCCCTGATTAGCCGAGGTCCTGCTTAACATTACCACCGTTTTCCTCCCATTCAAGCAACCGGTTAGTGCAGCTGGAAGGATTAAGTTGAGTCAAGCACAAATTAAGTGCCTTTCTCCGGTCCCGGAAGTTGGGAAAGTTAGATTGACCCCACCTTGATTTCAAGCACACAGAGCTTCCCTCCTTTGCGGAGTACACGTACTTCTAAGAAGTCTGGTCTTATACAGAATCTTGTGCAGTAGAGAGAGTTTATGTGCAACTGCTCTCCAGTAAATGAAACAAAAACATTCTACGGTGAACACATGTCCTTTCGTGAAAGACACCAGCACCATTATGTCAACAATAGTGGGTCTCCATTTTGCCAAAACAGATTTGTACCTTTCCTCTGGATAGACATGAGTTGTTGTGTATCCGGCAGAAGGTGTAGACGTTCAATAGGGAATGCATAGTGCCCACTCATTATGCATATTACTTAAAAAACAAAAGGACAGGACATATTATATCTTAGGTTTGCAGGGAGTTCATCTTAACCACTATGGATTAGCCGCCCACCAATGGTGACGTATGACTGTCCCCTATTTTCAGGATTAATTAGAGTTGCTCATTCCCCGGACGGTTTTAAGGCTCAAGAGCAATTAGAAGATAATTGTATGGTATTAATTGCGATAGCGCGGGAAACGCAAGACGTCCTCTGTTAATATTCGCTTTGATACGGAGAAACAAGCAAACCTTTCTTCCGAAACTGTGTCTTACCTTAACATGGTGCCTGATCGCTTGATTACGTATTGACGTTTTAGAGCATTTATACATTGGTTAAAGAACTTTGCTCACTCTGGTCTCATGAAGGTGAATGCGGAATATTGTATGAAGCCATCCAGAGCCTGACTTCACCGGTTTGCATTAAACCCAGTCTAGATCCCCTGAAATATATCATTTGTGGGTTTTAACGCGCTTGAAGGCGTAAGGGGATCCTCAGCAAACAAGCGAAGCATTTAAATATGCATTAAATGTGCAAAGTGATGATATGTAATATTTTTGTGTGCTTGTGCTTTAGCAGGACACAGATACTTCGACCGGTGGATGACAGTTTATCCAGAGCTCCCCGGATCGGGATTCAAAACGGCTAGTGAAAGCAAGTTGGTCATTATCCACTCTACATTGTCTTGATAAAGTTTGCTTGAAAGCGTCGTCATGCAAATCCAATATTATAGATAGTCGCCTTAATTGTTTATGCCACATAAAGGCTTATTGCTTGAATCCAACGAACTCCAAGCTGTGGCCTTTCTCTATGCTCCCCATTATTGGAAAACGAGTTATCGTGAAGCATTCACACCATTTCTGTTATACATTGTGTAGTGAACGTAAGGTGGGATTGCCGTGGGCGAAAGGTTCACTTCGGTGGACTTTATCGCCACACTGTAGTTGGTTGCCAAGACCAGTGTAAAATGACATCGAATCGCTTGCCTTCCATTGCTCAGACAACCATCCTGGAGATACAGCAAAGCCACCTGTGCCAACTCTGGAATCGTTAGCTCAGCGGGCCATTGATAGTGGACCACTGCCGGTGTCACTACTGAAACGGAGTCCGATACATGGACTGTCTGAGCAAAATTGGCTACAAAACGGTAACCGCTTGCCCACCCTCGCCAAATGTATCAAACAAGAGAGTAAAGTCTTTGAACTGAAGAGGCCATTTGGATTGAAATGTGAACGCGTTGTGCAGATTCGTGAGTGGTTTGCGCTTTCGAAGTCAGGGGACGGAAAAGCAGAAACACTGGAACTGCATACGTGCTACAGTGCCTCCACGAAAGAACAAATCGAGGTGAGTTCCGTCCTATAATAGTTGGAATGTCTGTGCCGAAATACCGCTTGTGGCCGACATGTTCTAACATCGTACGTCCCTTCTTCGGTCGGGCTGCAGTTGATTGCTCAAAGATACATTGCCTGACTTGTATCCCGGAGTGATGTATCTGAATGAGCACAGGTGTCTGAGTTGCCGGCACCAACGGAGGGTTTAGATGATATCGGTAGTGAACTAACCATTTTTTGGCACAGCATTGACCCATGTGTGAGATTCCATCACTGAATGTACCACGGTCCATTGAGTTCCCCGTGTATTACGTGCTACCTAGGTCACCATAAAATATATACCAATGTAAACCGCTGTAATACCATTCTCCCAAGGCTAAAATAGCACCACAAAGCGAAACATCCTCATGGTGTACGTTGCATCGGTGCTAGCCGAGCAGTACCATGTACCTTGTGTCAAAGGCGTCCTCTGAGAATCAAAACAAAGTCTGAGCGGCGATCAAATTCGGTTCTTAATGAACAAATTGTCATTTTACACTTTATATCAATTTTAATCATTATTTCAATTAAACGCACTTGCAATGGCTGCTTTTTGCTAGTCATCTGTCTGAGTTCATTGGTTCGCGCTTAGCGTTCTTTCGCAGCCGTTTGAATGACTCCAGTAATGTCTGAAATAAAGTTGAACTTTGCCCACAGTACCCCAACCTCATTCTGGTCGATTCATTCTGTGCTTGCAAACGTGAGTAGACTGTGCCGGCGGATCTGACTGCCTTTCTATCTGCCGGCTGTGTCAGTTTCGATTGCTGCAACTTAGCCACAACAAACATTTCATGGGTAACTGCTTAAAAGTGAAGATACAATATAGCCGTCTGGAGTGTCGATGTAATTACTTTTCCCTTCGGGTTTGCCAACCCTGGAACACGCTCCCAGACTCCGTTGTATCCTCCCCTACCTTAGAAATTTTTAAAAAGGGATTAGATGTTGCTCTTAGCTCCCAACACATTGTTACCTAAACTTGGCAATTGTGGATTACGCCAAGTATGCTTTTCTACAGGATGTATGTATCAAATGGATCCAAGTGAGCGACCACAGTTTACTTTACTCACACTTTATATCAACGACCACTGGACCCCAGTGTATTTCTGAACGTTTACGCTCTTTTTTTAAATTTACTCTGATACTAGTTATCAAATTAGTCATCTCGGCAGACATTCGGTAGGTGACCCAGGTATAATTTGATTTCATCGTATTCACCCAAACCGTCCTACGGGACGGGTCAAGCACTTGCTTTTATCCCGTGATAAATCACTGTTCATTGTTCATTGCTCATCACACGATGCACCCTCTGCTCCGAAACAATGGGGCGTGTGGAAACTCACTTGGCTTTGTCCCGGCGCAAAAATGTATCTGACTCACAACCCGATTACCCGCTATTCACTCTGCCCGTCCAAACGCGGTCAAGTAGAGCTTGCGGCTCTGATCGGATTTTCAGCCCATGGGCAGCAAGTCCGTTTCGCTGCCTTGAATGACCAACTATTATCACACCTTGGACACCTAGAGTAGGTTATGCGCTTTTTCAGTCTGTCAGTGAATTCACAAGAAATAACACTCTGCTCCGGCTTGTCCCTGTATTCTTACTTCTGGTCCAACTGATTAATAGACGTGTGCAGTCGACTTGCATCGGTTCTCATTCCCGGTTACTCGTAGACTCCAACTACCATGGCGATAATCACGGCAAGCATTGGAAACTGTGAAAACTGCTTTGTTGAACTATCGGCTAGAGGCTTAGTTAGTCAGATCATACATCTTAGGTTTCAGTAGTCTAACTGCTGTGGCTCGCCGTGTGTTCCATACGATGAAAACACAGTGGTCCATCGTGGTCACTTGGTATTGGGACGTGACGGATGGGAAGTGTATGCAAATGTTGTATGGTAAAGCTGCTCTACTCCAGCTGAGTCCATCGGAGCGGAATTGCTACAGTTCGCTAGCCAAATGCGACTGATCTAACATGTGTGATCATTCGATTTTCAAGAGATAAAACCAGTGGTACTGTAGGAATTAGATTCGCGCGTAATGACAACCCGTTCACACGAAAACTGCTTGCCATTTCAACAACAAACAAGTGTGTTGAAACAGATATGGAGCTGACAGAAATGGGATGATCACCCACAAAAAATGATTTTTTCTTGTTTAACCAAAGAAGTTCAATGACAATCCCGGATTAGGTGGATCACAGCACTTGATTGGACGTGGTGAAACATCCAAACATCATTCCGGGAAATCGGGTAAACATGAGACAGTTTAAGTTCCAAAAGTAACAGTTGTACTGTAGATTCATATACTGGCACCACGCTTCTTGAAAAAGATCGTGGGATGAGATTGGCGGTCACTTTGATGCACTCACTGTGTGAATGAATTTAGACGCGTGTCGTTAAATTTGACCGCGATTCGCACTTAGGTAAAGCTTTGTCAGTTCAATCACTGGGACCGTAGTTAATGAATTTGATGGACTCGAAAACACTACCCCATGGCCGATTTCGAAATCACTCAACGTCAAGGGATTGAGAGATGGAATTAAATGGTATATGTGGAGGTTCATCACAAATTGACACAGTTAGATAGCCACATGTTTACGAAAAAGTACGGTAGTATTGGGGGGTTTCGGTGTTGCTGCCACCCATCCCTGAACTCCACAACCGACAGTTTCGTTCTGATTTGGACTCATCAGGTAGAGACAGCCTGGTCTGAGAATAGAAATCAGCACTTGGGGCTTGGCATCTGTCGCCATGATCACTGAACCACTGCGTCTCGCGAACAAAGCTTGGCACACCGGTTAGATTTTGAATGTTATGATTTTGGAGTACCTACCTTGTGTTTTTGGCTGCGACACTCAATTTCGGTTGTAAATTTGGGTGATTTTAAAGTCAGCTTCTGTCATTCCGATCGCTGGGACCGTATCCGAACTGGAGGGGTTCGGTGTGACTATCTCTCATCCCTGCACTCCACGACTGCCGGTCTCGTCCTGATCTTGACTCCTCTGATAGAGAAAGCCTGAGTCGGAATTAGAACTTGGTACCTAGGGGTTAGTGACTATCACCATGATCAGTAGATCATTGAGCTCCACGGGCAGTGCTTAGCACAGCGGTTAGGAGTTGTTTCCGGATTTTTCAGCACATGCCATGTGTCTTGCATTGCGACTCTTATGTAGAGCTGGTTACTGGTTTTGCACATCGTCAGCTATATGCAGTTCGTTTGACAACTATGGAGCTAAAACCCGCAAACCGATTGTTACCAGTCCGTGGAGAGGACCGATGGCAGGATCGACTACTCCCTTGTAATCGATAGGCGCACTAATCTGATTACAATCCTCTAAAGTAATTAACCGCTTAATTTTGGTAGGTCGGTCGGCCGGTGGCCGAGTGGTCTGCGCGCTTGGTTCGCAATTGTCAGGTCCCAGGTTCGAATCCGCGTGGGGGTGGGCATCCTCGCTTTAAACTCCGCCAGTGCACGACTGCTGGTGGTCGCACGGCAGCGAAGCGCCGTTACGGCGTACGGCTGACACACACTATTACTACGACTAGTTTGGTTGCTTTCGGAGGTGCTACTCGGTTCTCTGCAAAGTAGTAACGTGTAAGTCAGTGGATGCGCAGCAAGATATCACCATGGTCGTTACTATCCTTCGTGGCTCGGGGATCTCAGCCACAGACTGGTGAAAGTCGGGTTGCGGGTTGCAACCCCACGGGAGCCAGGTGGATAGCATAATACCGACGATTCCCGTAAGAATGAAACTGTTGTACAGGGCATTTCCGGGCTTGTGACAGCTGACTGAGTCTAGACATGAGGAACTACTTGTATTATTAAATGTCATCAGGCAGAGATGGCAAACATCGAACGCGGGACCATTAGGATGTTAACCGAAACGACTGCTACTTCAGAACCGAGTCACGACGATCAATGCTTATCGAAACGGATAATGACTGCTTGGAGAAGTCATTTAAAGCGTTTGTTGCGTAAATGGATTACGGCACGTAATCCCAATGTAACTCGTGAATCGCTTGGAAGCCAACCTTGGACAACTGATCACCAGGACCGTTGTTAACGTACCTGCAAAAAAGGGATTGCGCAAAGAAAACACAGAACTCTCCTACGCATTTCAGCCTCATATGATCTAATCAGGTGGATAACAGACCTAGAATTCAGGAAC